GATCGAGCATCGGGTGCATGGGATAGTCAGCTCGTTCGACAGTCTTTTTACCCACCCGATGCAGATGCTATATTGGCTATGCCACAACCAAGATTGGCATGGGAGAGCTCAGGGATTTTTTTGGTGAAATCAGCCTACCGATAAATCATTGACAAGAGATGTAGCGAGGGTGTTGCTACTGATAGTTCTCGAGGAAAAAAGCATACGTGGAAGGCTTTGTGGAGGCTTTAGGTGCTTCCAAAAATCTGGGTGTTTTGGTGGCCTATGGTGAACAATATGCTGCCCAGCTATAGTACTGCACTGAAGACACATCCGAACGATGGTGATCTGCCTGTTGTGTAGTCATGAGGATGAAACTATGGGCTAGTTTGGTTTGAGACCTGGGAAAGATTTGCCTGGCCTGGAGCTTGCCTGAGATCAACCTGGAGACTGTTTGGTTGATGTCCTCCAGAGGCAGACTAATGCCTGGCCTGGAGCATGTAGTATGGTAATTAGCCTGGTCGAAACACCTTTCGACCAGGCACATTCGTTAGCCTGGATCAGGCGTGCTCCATCGGTCGCCTGGATCGTGCTTGATATTCTAATCGTACTTTTTCTTGTGGGTCAGCAACTTTTTACAAACTGACAAGAGAAATCATTGCTACGCTAGTTGTGGACACAAACCAAACGTACCGCTCCCAGGCTAGCCCGGCCGGTAAATTTTTTGCATGTATCTAGGCCATGGCCAGGCTTCACTTTCTCCCAGGCATGAATGTTAGGCCTCGATCCAAACTAGCCCTATATATAGCCTGATGCCTTGCGACCATGGAAACCTATTTTGGGAGGTAGCAACAACATATTTCAATATCAAGCAAACCAAAGATGCACCCAAATGCTTGGACCGAAGATTTCTGGATGCTAGTTTGATGTCGAAGAAGGGCAACTATATGCATAATACTTATGTGGGCCATATGACATAGCTTGAACAACTATACCCATGACGAGGAGATACGTACTCATCGAGGAAATTGTTCGCTCACTGGAGATCCTCTCGCATGTAATGGAGAGGGTGCAGATTGATCTGATCTCGCTCGGTGTAGTCCTTTAGAACCAGACTTGACCAACCTAAACATCGATGGCACGGTAAATTCTATGCATGGGAGAGGACGAGAGTGGTGGTGCGGAACCACGATGGTGATTTCATGCTACATCTCGCCTATGCAAGTATAACGGAACCTCTTGTGCTGAAGCTTTTGGCATGTTAAGATGCAGTAATTAAGGCAAGAGAAAGAGAAAGAGGGTTTTAAGGATGTGACTACTTAGAATGTGAAGAAAATGTGGGAAGCAGTAACGGGTGAAAAGTCTATGGGCTTTCATATCTCTCGGGAGATGTAAGAAATGGTTCAAAACTTTTGAGCTTTGTTTTTATACGCGGGAGTGCTAATGCAGCAGCCCACCGCTTTGCAAAAGAATCTCTAATTTTAGATATAGCAAAACAATTTGGTACAATCTCCGACTTTTCGAACTATAGCTTGCACTTAGTTGTGTTGCCTCTGACTGAAGAAAGTCCGGAGAGCGAAGCTTAAAAGAGAGAGAGCGGATGACGATGGTGCAAGATTATGCCATGCGGGTCCTATTCAACTGACTACATTATCATGTGGGTCTCATGCCATGTTAGAGGGATATAGAAGATAATGGAAAGCCGGTACAATGTCCAGAGTCATCCTGAAAGTGATTTGTATATCGTGTTTCGCACCATTTACATTATATTGAGTTGTTAATTTTTTTCCAAGAGTGAGTAGCTCTTTAGGCACTGACAAAATTTCGGCGGGTCGACCCCTAAACCTGCGTCTTGCTAACAGTTTGGAACAAAAGCAAAAAAAGAAAAACAATTGGAGCAAGGACCGTCTGATCGGTGCCAACTCTCGATCCAGCCGTCCACTGGAGGAAGGTACCCATCTTCATTTGCTCGCCTCGCCGCCGCCACGCTCCCCCGTCCGCTCTCTGGCGCGGCGCAGCCGCCTCTGCCCCGCCACCTCGCTGCCCGCCGTACGTGCACCTCTCTCCTTCGCCTCCTAGCTGCCGTCTCCACCTACCCTCTCTCGATTCCCCCTTCCAGCGAGTGAGCCACCAACCACGTAAGGGGGAGAGAGGGAGATGGTGCTGCGGCGGGCGGCGGTGGAGTCCCCTAAGAAGGTGGCGGCTCTGGTCGACCTGGTTAACCTGCCGACGGCGCTGCGGGAGTTCGCCGGGGGCCGGTCCCAGATGTCCCACCTCTCCTTCTTCCTCGGCGTCTGGTCACACATCAAGAACAACAACCTCCAGGTACATCCTTCTGGCTCCACCTGTTTGTTTGGTCGCCTCGGAAGTTAATCACGTTAGGTTTAGTACCCGGAATTAGTTGAGCGTCCCTGTTATCACGGAAGATTTGGTACCTGCCCTTGAAATTCCGTTTCCATTTAGTCAGCAAGCTAGATGTTCTCTTGTTGCTGGTGAACTTCACGCATTTGATCCAACTCAGCTAGGATAGGAATTTGCCGAATAAGACATTCATACGACCAACTCAGGTAATGGCCGCGGCTTAGTTGGATCAGAACCACCTGCAGTGTTAAGTCTGGGCTATAGCTCAGTGTTCTAGGATCTGTCGGTGTTTCTACTTTCGGGGTATTGCTTCCCCTGGAGGCCTGCACATCCTTTTCAAGGCCAACTGTCCATTGTTCTCTTTGAGGTTTGAGCAGGCGCTTCTGTTTTTGTTGACTTCATATCTAACATGAAGAAGAAGACATCATCTCTCTCCATATATATCCAGGCCATGCGGTGATACAGTTAGTTGGGTGGCACCATTATTGCCATCAGTTGGACTTGAGCTACATTGCAGAAAGTAGTTGTGGCTCCATCTTCCATTTAGGTACCTGTTTAGAACCGTTTTACACTAGATAATCGCCAATAAAGTCATCTTGAGTTTGACATGTTGTTTGTAAGCCTAGATGTGGCACTGCTGCATTCTTGAAGGAGTTCTTCTGTCATGCTGTAATATATACTCCCTCTGTCCCAAAATATAGTGCGTACTAGATTTTTTTCTAAAGTCAAACCTTTTAAACTTTGACCAAATTTATAGAATTTTTTCTCAAAATCTAGAATACCAAATCATTACTGTCAGATTCATCATGAAATAAATTTTCGTATTGGACGGAGTGAGTATTTAAATCTCATGGCTCTCAGCTATAAAACCAGGTTGAATCTTGGTGAATGGCAAGGCATAAATTAAAATTTTAAGGTCATAGCTTTGTTTCGCACAATTTTTGTTTCAGAGGAAACAGAAAACCTGTTAGCTTTTCACCCCTGTCAGATGTACCATGATATTCATTTAGAGGGTGCTTGGATCCAAGGGACTTATTTTAGTCTGACTAAAAATAGTCTCTTTAAGAGGCTAAAGTTCCAAGCACCCCTGACTAAAGAGGGGCTAAAACTAGTCTTGAGACTAAAATGTTTTAGTCAGGGGTACCCCTACTAAAATGTGGATTAGTCCCCTCTCTCCTCATTTAACTCCTCTCCTTTAACACAGGCGAGTTCTGGATTGGAGGGTTTGGAGGATAATAAATGCTCATTAACTTGATTTTAGTCTCTTTAGTACTCCCTCCGTTTTTATTTAGGCTGGTCACAATGGGCAAGAACATAGTCTAGTAACTTACACACTTCCCTAGACTATGTTATTACCTCCACAGTGGGTAGAAACATCTATGTAGTGTCATGCAACAATGTATTTATTAGGTTATAGACTCATTGTTTCTTGGAGTGTGTGATGTTCCGGTAACTTAGCTAGTTACCACAAGCACTCTCTCTTCATTAAATATGTGACACATAAGCAAAGTTGTATTGGAGTGTGTGATGTTACTCCTAAGTTCCTCCCCATTGTGACCAGCCTTAGTTCGCATATTAGCTTTGGTCAAAGTCAAGCTTTACAAACTTTGACCAAGTTTATATACAAAAATATTAAGATATACAATAACAAATCAACAACATTAGATTTATTACTAAATGTACTTTCACATCGTATAGATTTATTATGATAAATGTCTAAATGTCTATATTGTTTTCTATAAACTTGGTCAAACTTTACGAAGTTTGACTTCAGTCAACTCTAATATGCGGAGTAAATAAAAACGGAGGGAGTATTTGGATCCAAGCATGGGTGAGTCTAGCAAGTTTTAGTCCCACTACTTTTAGTCAAGAATACGTATCCAAGCACCCTCTTATTACTTTTCATATGGATATGTGATTTCTACAAGTTGTTTACATTAAATTACTCTGATTTGCAGGACCCGACCAACAGGAACATAGTAAACTGCGATGAGAAGCTGAAAACTGTGCTGTTGGGCAGGTCTAAGGTGGAGCTCTCGGAACTCCCAATGCTTGTCAAGCTACATTTCCCAAAAGTTTTCAAGTCGTAAGAATAATAAGCTGTCCTTTACAAAATCTCCATGCATGGCTGATGTGTAGACAACATATGAGTCCTCCTAACCTCTTTGGTACGTGTGTATTTTTCAACTTTTAGTAGCTTCAGCTTGTGTCCAGATGAAGGAAAAACATGTAGTACCACATAGTTGCTTCCTGTCTCTCTTGGCATATTGTGTATTGAACTTGAACTGAATTTGGAAGGCGGTTATTGAATGCAAGGCCTGAAATTGTTGGTTAGATATTCCTATCTGCCCGGCAAGTGGAGTTTAATGATGATAGCTTTCTCTTTCTTTTGCTTTTGTACGTGAGCAGTCGAGCTGTCGTCCCTAACAACTAGGGTACTTCATTAAGTCTCATTAGAAGATATACGCTCAGGGCCTCCTTAACTTTGCTACTACCCAGAGTGAATGGGGTGATGGTACGCTTAAGGGCATCTCCAATATGTTGTATGTTAGTCTTGTTGGTAAAATATCTATGTCATCAACCAACAAGCTATCATACAACTACTCTAATGAATTGTATTCAAGCTATCCAATAGATGGTGAGACAATAAATGTGATTGCTCTCTATTTCACCTTGGAGCTTGTGAAAAGGTTGTTGGTTAATCTACATACAACTTTGCTCTCTCTTCACATTTAATACATGCCACATCATCACTATGTTCTAGGTGGCAAATTTACCAACACCTATCTCACGACTGTTGGAGATGCCCTAAGCAGGTGATGCTATGCTAGATGTAGAAAAAAACGTGACATCCTTGTGCAGACATGTAAGTCCTATGTTCATAAACAAAATTTATTGGCAATCAAAAATATCTTTGTGAATAAATAGAATTCATTGACCATAATGATAGCACTACTAATTTCTCTAGGCAGTGTGCGAAATTGTTGATATGAGCAAATTTGTTGGAAGTAAAGGTTTATAAAGAGAATACAAACTGCCAAAAGAAAGAAAGGAAACACCTTGTTTCTCTAAATAAATAGTGTGTGTGGAATTTTTTGTATGAACAAAACATTATCGGTAGAGATTCTGCCAAAAGGAAGAAAGAGAACACCTTGCAGGTTCAAGTTTGAGTAGTTCAACTAGACGCTTTTGGCAGCAATCATCAACTCACTACGATTTTTTTTTTCTTGGGGATAAAATGGTAGGCTGCGGTTATTCCAAAGCCAGGCTGAAGTCTGAGAATTGTTTTTTTTAAGAAAGTCTTAGAATTGTTTGGTAAATACTCCGTCCGGTGAAAAATGTACATATAAAAAATTAAGATAAATTATGAAGTGAAGTAAAAAATACATTGAAAAAGTGCCAGCCACCATCTTTCTCCTATTTAATTATCCAACCCCAATGAGCTAAATACATGTAAAAGTTAAGAAGATCATGCGTAGAATGTTATTGGTCTTGATTACCGTGTGATAAGAGAGAAATATTTTTTTCTACTTTAAAGTAGACTTTTTTGTGGACAAATTTCAAAGCCAAATGTACACTTTTCACCGAACGGAGTAAGATGTGAGCAGCAGCATCACACCAAAAACTCACTACCATATTTATATGGACTTGACTACTGTTTTTTCTTGTCCACAGCACATAAACTCATATCTTCCTCGGATCATCTTATATTATAAAGCTGTCTAAAATAACATTATAAAACTATCTTGCAAAAAAAAATAACATTATATTTCCTCCGTTCCCAAATATTGTCTTTCTAGACATTTCAAATGGTTACGATATACGGATGTATGTAGACATATTTTAGAGTGTAGGTTCACTCATTTTGCTTCGTATGTAGTCATTTGTTAAAATCTTTAGAAAGACAAATATTTAGAAACGGAGGGAGTACAAAACTAACAAAAGCTTTCATTTACAGTCCATTGCGTACTACATGTACACATGGTCGATCGCCATGGATCAGTGTAACATGATGTATCGTTTTCATAGAGCATAAACACGCACACACAACATATACGGTCATCCCTCCATATATTGTCTTCTCAACCGAGAAAACCGAACTGAAATTCAGAGAAATACATGAAGCGTGGTGTTCATGACTTTATCGGCAAGCATATTGTACATCCTCTCCGTGGGATGGATGGCGTCGAAGAAGACGTACTTGTTGGGGTTCGTACATAGCAGCGAGGTGCTCAGGCTGCAGAAGTAGCCGGCCTCGAACATCCCCGTCCCGCAGCACCCTCGCTCTGCGTGCTCAAAACCTGCAAGATCATCATCATCATCATCATCATCAGAAATTGAATAAATTTGGACAGGTAAAGTCACTGCATAACTAGTCAGGAATGTGAAAGGGACTACTACTAAGAGTCTAAGAATGTGTACAGAGAGAGAAACAAAAGTCTGAACGGACGTTAATTCAATGCATGATGATGCCACGCACTGTGCGTGCAACTGGAGGTGGTGCATGCAACAGGAGACACGGCATGTGGCGCCCATGCCGTGCTTCCCGTTGCAGTGGTGCAGTGCTGTGCACCATCAATCGAAACGATCGAACGATTGAGCGCAGGGCATGAATGCATCCTACCAACTCAGAAAAGCGAGCTCGGCCACGGCCATGCATGCCGGAGTTGATCGGCTGTGCATGCATGGCCACGCGAACTGCGCACGTACCGTAGTCGGCCGGCTTCCTGACGACGGCGTCGAGGACGTCGTAGGTGTCGGCGTAGACGAGGTGGAGGCCGGGGAGCTCCTTGTTGAGCTTGGGGACGACGGCCTGCTTCAGCTTGGCGTTGAAGCTCCGGGCGACGGCGTTGTACTCCTCGTTGCACTGCCCGGGGTCGCCGCGGTTGCCCATGCGCTCGGCGGGGAGGCAGCCCATGGGCGTGAGCCCCGTGAAGTCCATCTTCCTGCCGCCGAGCGCGTGCACGGCGCGGATGGACGACTCGGCGAGCCCCAGCAGGTACGCCTCGTACTCCGCCGCCGTGTACTGCATCCGGCGCTCCGGCAGGTTGTAGTAGTTCTCGATGAAGTCGTTGGTGCCGATGCTCCAGATGTAGAGCGCCTCGCGGATGATCTCCTCGCCGCGCGCGTCGCCCTTGGCCAGCTTCAGCCGCAGCTTGTACTCCTTGAAGTACTCGAGCTGCTCCGCCATGGTGATCACGGACAGGATGCCGGCGGTGGCGTTGTCGAGGCCGGTGGAGGCGGACGCGAAGGAGACGCCCGCGGCGAGGTCGTCGATGGTGAGCGTGGTGTCGAGGTAGGCCGGGATGGAGGCCGGCAGGCCGAAGGCCTCCGAGATGAAGTCGGTGGCGAGGCGGCCGTTGGAGAAGCGGCCCGTGGGGTGGCCGTCCGCGAAGTCGAGCCCGTAGGGCCAGAAGTTGCTCCGCGCGATGGTCGGGATGAAGTTGTTGTTGCCCGTGTCCACCGAGGAGTCGCCGAACACGATGATCGCCGGCACCTTCCCGGCAGCCGCCACCGCCGTCCCCCCGCCGCCGTCGCGGAGCACCAGGAGGAGGATCAGCCACGGCAGGCACCTGTGGAGCGACGACATTGATGGCTAGACTAGACAGGCCGATCAATCTCGTTGGAAACGAACGAACGATCTTTCTTTCTCTTGTTGCGAGCGTTTGGTGCAGGACAGGAGGTTGGTGTCTGTGTCGTCACGAGATTAAGGCGCCGAATGGACGTACTGTAACGCCGCCTGACTAACTGGCTGCTCTACGTATCGCCGGCGACAGCATGTATATATAGTGGCACTGAGACTGTGGTGGCGTGGTGTATGCGGGCGATGCCACGCCCGATGTGGCAACGCCCCCGAGAGCGATGGGCCGTTTTCAGGCCTTGAGGAGCTCGATAGGTTCAGCTGCATGTGAGGCGCTTAATTAATTCGGACCGCATTAAAATCGCACGTTCCTCTGTGCGTGGCTTGCCTTCATGATGGTCACAGTGGGGAGTAACTTATAGTAGTGTCACGCATATAACACTAGTCTAAGGGCCTGTTTGGTTCCAAATAAGTCACCAACTTATAAGTCGAAAAGTAAAAAAAGTAACTTATTTTGCCAAACAAACCTGACGTATAAGTTACCCAACTTATAAGTCATAAATTGCTCCATCCCAACTTAAAACTTATAAGTTACCTCTTTTTGCGTGGGTCCCACCACCTGCATGATGTTGATTGATGTGGAAAGATGTGTCAGGTGACTTATAAATCAGGTGACAACCAAACAGACGTGACTTATAAGTCATTAGTTTTAAGTCACCTGACTTATAAATCGGGTGACTTATTAAAACCAAACAGGCCCTAAGTTACTACCTCCATAGTGCAAAGTAACATAATACTTCCTCTTTCCATCTATATAGGGCCTAATGCATTTTTTAAGACCGCCTTTGACTATTGACATGATTAATAGTACATGACATGCACAATGTGAAAATTATATCATTGAAAGCTCCTTTCACACACGAATTTAACGGTGTGCTTTGTGTAAATTGCATGTCATATATTATAGCTCTAATATTTGGTCAAAGTTAGCCTTGAAAAACGCATTAGACCCTATATAGATGGAAATAGAGAGTAGTAGTGTCATAGATGACTACATTTATTACCTTATAGACTCATACTTTCTCGGGAAGCGCTATGTTACAGTAACATATTATGTTACTTTAAATACCTCTCTCCTTATTAACTATGTGTCATATAAGCAAAAAATATTTGAAGTGCGTTATGTTACTACCTAAGTTACTCCCACTATGACTAGCCTCATGGAAAAGCGCGCGCGAGCAGGAGCAGCTGATGTAAAATGGCGCTGATGCCCCTGTTGTACGTACGTATTTATGGCCTCCCATTCTCATTTGCTTCCTATTTCCAAGGTCTCGATTCTTTTGACGTACTAGTACCCACTCCCGTGTATTCCGTGGTTACAGTGTAGAGATACACCGTAGTAGTATTCCCTTCCTCCAGGTGCATAGGGTGCCTAGTGAAAAGAGAGTAGCACCTTCAGAAAATCAGGATGAAATAGTTTCTTCAGGTTGAAAAAACAGACTTTCCAGAGTTCATCACCACATCAGGTGAACCAACCCACGGTGCCTTGTGTCACTCCGATGCGCGGAGAGGCATTTTCAGTTTTTCCATTACTGATCAAGGCCGAGGCGGGACTAGCGTCGTTCATATTCAGAGACGAGGTTGGTGAATTTAACGCGGCAACATCCCCCGTGGGAGGAGCATGTCGCACCTGCTCGCTGAAGCTATTGCAGTCCTTGATGGAACCACACGCCTGAGGATTCCAGTCCAGTCCAATGTGATTCTCTTCAAACGGCGCAGATGTGGAAAGAGGCACTTTCCTTCGCTCGGGATCGGAAGTATCCCCAATCTAGGCAGAGATCAAGGGGCTCAGTAGAGGTTTTGTTGCTTTTATTTAGAATAGACTGGACTGTGTCACATCTTGATTTGTGCTAATCAGGCATCCTATGAGGATCGCCTTGTAATGTGGGTGGGTACACCTAGCCTGCCGACTTGCATAATGCATGATTGTGAATCCGCTCATCATGAACTAAAATAAAAGAGTTCTTGTTCGGCAAGAAAAAATAGCGCCACCAATCGGGTTTAAATATGAAATTCAGACGGACACAACAAGCCAAGGCTCCGCTGGAAAAAAAATCAGGCAACTGCCAGCACGGGCTGCCAATGCATATTAGGAAGCGCGCAAGCGCAAGGTCTCGATGGCCATAGGAGTGGCAGGCTGGCTGGAAAATCGCGTGGGCTGCCAACAAGTGCGGTTGAGAAAGCGCAACGTTTGTTGATGGAGAAGCTGGGTCTTATTGCGTCGGAGGAGGAGATCTCGCAAGACAACCTCGAGCTATATGCGGCTTTGTTCAAGGACCCGCTGTCGCCGAAGCAGATCGTTGCTCTCGCTGCATTGTTCGCCATCCATCCAATTGCTAGAGGAGCTCATGATGGTGGAGGCGAGGCTGTGAGTCCACAGCTGTGTATCGGCGGTTCCTGTGGGCTTGGCTCATGTTAGAAATCAATGCACGCTTCTTAGTGTGTAATGTGCGTGGTGTTAATAACCGACGCAGTGGGCTGTGGTTCATGACACAGCTAGGGAAGCCGCTGCAGCCGTAGTTGCTATGGTGGAATCCAAGCTCAATATTGTAACCTCACAGATTTTAATGAGAATTCCCGGTTTGGAGTACGGTGACTTTGTTCCGTTGCCGGTGGTGGGCACCCACCGAGGGCATCATCGTGGCATGGCATGCGAGCGATGATAAGCTCCTTACGACCAGGGTGGACACATTCTCTGTGTCCATAATGCTAGAGTTGTTGAATGGGGATAGTTGGTGGTTGTCCATGGTCTATGGCCCCACGGATGAGAGATTGAGACCTGATTTTCTTCAATAGCTTCGGCTCCCGCTGGAAAGTTCTGTAGGGTCATGGTGTATTGCGCGAGATTTCAACATCACCTTGAATGCTACGGATAAAAACAATGCACGTATCAACCGACTTGCAATGAATGGATTCAGGTAGTTGGTTAATAACCCCGAGATCTCCGAGGCGCCTCTCATTGCCGGTGTTTCACGTGAAAAAATGAGCGTGAGAGCCCCACGCTCGTCAAGTTGGATCGTTGGTTTCACTTGCTCGAGTGGGAGGAAGCGCATCCTCATGTTTGCTGGTGGCTCAGGCTATGTCCATGTCGGACCATTGCCCAATGTTGTTGAGCACTAATGTTGGCATGCTCACTCAATGGCGGTGCTAATTCCAAAGTTTTTGGACCAAACTTCTGGGTTTCATGGTAGAAGTGGAGAGGGCTTGGGCTGCTCCCATGTTCAGGACCGAGAAGATGGTGGTTCTTCAAAAAAGCTTGCCACGGTGGCTAAAGGCTCAACTGATGGAGTGCCCATTCGGTGGGTAACATTTGCGAGTAGCTTATGTTGGACAACGTGATTGTGCCAAGGCTAGCCTAGAGACAAGATGAGAGGGATCTCAGCGCCAAGGAAACATGGTCCAAGGTTGATCTCAAGCGTAAGTGCCTCGGCTTGGCATCGTTGCATCACACTATCGCCAGTCAAATATTGTGCACCACAACCCCGAATGAGGGGGCTGCCAATGCAAAATTCTTCCATGCGCACGTGGCCAAGAGGCGATGTCGCAACATCACGTTGAAGCTGCGAAGGGCATGGTTCTTTGCACAGATCAGGAGGGTATGGAAGAAATGGCATACAACCACTTCATGCAGATCCTTGGGATTGCAGAGGAGAGGGGATGCTCGATCAACTTTGCCGAGCTAGATCTAGCCACGGAGGACCTTTCGGACTTGGAAGAGGCAATGATGGAGGATGAGGTGTGGGAGGTTGTCAAATCCTTGTCGGCGGATAGGGTCGCGGGTCCAGATGGGTTCACGACGCAGTTTTACGAAGTGCCTGGGATATCATCAAGGTGGATGTGGTGGAGGCTGAGGGAGTCCTGGATTAAGGGCTCCTTGGGCGTCCGGGCTATGTAACATGGGCCGGACTGATGGGTTATGAAGATACAAGACATAAGACTTCCTCCCGTTTCCGGATGGGACTCTCCTTTGCGTGGATGGCAAGCTTGGCGTTCGGATATGTAGATTCCTTCCTTTGTAAACCGACTCTGTACAACTCTAGGCCCCTCCGATGTCTATATAAACCGGAGGGTTTAGTTTGTAGAGGCAAGATCAATCATACAGGCTAGACTTCTAGGGTTTAGCCACAACGATCTCATGGTAGATCAACTCTTGTAATCCTCATATTCATCAATATCAATGAAGCAGGACATAGGGTATTACCTCCATCAAGAGGGCCCGAACCTGGGTAAAACATTGTGTCCCCTGTCTCCTGTTACCATCGATCCTAGATGCACAGTTCGGGACCCCCTACCCGAGATCCACCGGTTTTGACACCGACATTGGTGCTTTCATTGAGAGTTCCGCTGCGTCGTCACCAGTGTGCGATGGAGGAAACGTCTTGCCCCATCCTGGGCAACGTGCTACGTGTTATATAGCAGGGGCGCAATAACCCTGAGGCGCATACATGAGTTGGTTGAGAAGATAAGAGAGAATCAGGATACAACTTGAGGAGAAAGAAAGCAAGAGATAGACTTGGTTACAACCGAATAGATATCATATCCTAGCTAAACTACCTCCTGAACTATCTCTGAAGATCCTCCTCTGTCATGTATATGTGTAATGCGCCATGTATGTTTAACACCCCCCTTAATCACAACTTCATCAAGTTGAGATTATGTTTAAAATTTTCAAAGCTTCTCACAGGCAAAGCCTTTGTAAATCCATCTGCAAGCTAATTTTTGGAGTGAATAAAGCGAATATCAAGTTGCTTTTGAGCAACTCTCTCATGAATAAAGTGATAATCTATTTCAATATGTTTTGTCCTTGCATGAAAAACTGGATTGGCAGACAGATAAGTTGCACCGAGGTTATCACACCACATACATGGAGCTGGTGTGTCCTTTATGCCTAGTTCTTTCAGCATGGACTTAACCCATATAATCTTAGTTGTAGCATTCGCCAGTGCTTT